AGCCAAACCGGTTTCGACCTAGGCAAGATCTTTTAATGTGTCTTTAACTGGTTTTGAAGTGTGTGATGGTGTGTTATCATGAAGCAAAATTACTTTGCCATGTCTTCTGGCCCATTCTGATCGTTTCATCATCAAAGTGTGGTTTAAATTGACCAGCACGTTCTTTGTCTTTCACATTAAAATCATCACTTTTAAAGAGTTTAAACCAGCGTTCACAGTATCTTGAAATGGAACATGTCCACCATAAGCTTCCTGAAGTATACAATAACTTTCAGCAACACTTTTCTTCAAAATAAAGTAATGAATTCCTGCAAATGCTCTTTTTTTGGCACAAAATTCGACATTTTTAAGCGCAAAAATATCTATGATGTTAACACTTTCAGCGAATTTGACATATGAAGTTTTGAAGCTTGTTGTCAATACAAAAATAGCATACATATTAAATTGCATATATATCAACATGTGTAACTCTTACCTATTGAAAAAAATCTGCATTATTAACAAGTACACCTCTATATAATAAAAGGATAATATGCTAATTAGGCCAGACAAAGCCGGGGCTGGAGGGAAGTCAACTGGGTCCCAGGTCCTGGGTTCCTGCCGGCAGCCGCAGGAGGGAAGCCTGGGTCCTGGGCGCCAGAGGGAAGCTAGTGCCAGCAGCCGGGGGAAGGAAGGCCTACTCTCGCATGGATTTCTGTGTTTTGGGCGCGCGCGCGTGTGTGTGTGTGTGTGTGTGTGTGTGTATGTGTGTGTGTGTGTGTATTATCGGTGCTGGGAAATTGCTGATACAGAGGAGTGGAAGATCATATTTGAATTTGATGTCTCTGCAAAAAGGTATGACTTCCTTTACCTTAGGACCACTGGAGATAAATCAAGTCATTGGGTGTAGAACTTGTGATTTTTAATTGTCTTTTTCTCCCATTAGCCTGGAAATGTGACTTAAATTACCTGCAAATTCCCTCAGGAGTGTTGCTCGTTAACAACTCCAGGCAGGAGCCTGAATCTCATTGTCACTGCCAGGAAGTGTTAAGTAAAGGACCAGAGAGTGAAGCACTTCCTTTCTCGTGTTGCAGTGAAGTGGAATCCCTCTCTTAGGTGTTAATCAGTCTTTCGTCTTTCTCTTCAGTGATTTATTTTTTCAAGTGCAGTTCTCTGCTTTTCTTCAGAGGAGATAAAAGCCATACAGAGGAGAAAGAAATCTCATTGTAAAGCTATTTTCAGTTTTACACACTCTTACAGAAATACTGTATTTTTTTCCTTGTTTTGCTGTCCCTCCCCACCCCCCCAAGGCTCTGTACCTTTAAAAAGCCCAAACCCACCTTCGTTTTGACCTTTAATTCCCAAAGTCACTATTTACTCACCCTTGTGTCATGAAAATACTGTAACAAATGGGTAACATTTGGACACTTGGTAGGTGCAGGTGTATCTGTGTTTCTAGAAGGCAGTCTGGGGTAGATAAGAAAGAGCACGACCTCTGGAGCCAGAGCAAAGGCCTTCAATTCTTGTCCTGTTTCTTCATCCATAAAATAGGAACAATTGTATTTCCTCACAGAGTTCAGAGAGGACCAAAGGAGTTAATAAATACAGAAGGTGTTTAGCACAAGTTAAGTACTCATTGTATGTGAACTATTAAGCACTTTTATTGCATTAATTTCCCTCCTTTAATTATTAAGAAGTTGTGTTGGGAAGTAGTTCTTTCAAGACCTTTTGTAGATAAGGAAGTCAGTTAATTGACTTGTTAAATGATTTAAATGTTCATTGTTATTATTTTTATTAGAAAGTGGCAGAGCCAGGATTTATCTCCAAGTCTCACTTCAAAGCAGTCCTCTTTGTTATACCATCCTGTCTCCCTAAAGAGTCTATAATAGCTAACCTGACCATGTGCCAACAGCCATTGTGCTCAGTGCTTCCTACTTCTACATATGTTCCTAGTAACCCATAAGGCAAGGACTACTATTCCTATTTTAAAGATAATAAAACTGAGACTCTCGGGTTATAAAGCGCCTTGCTCAAAATTTTACAAGTGGAAAGAAGGATCATCAAAATTTGCCCATTTTACTTGAATAATTCATTGATTTTTAATTTATAATATGTAACAACTATCAATAATGATTTTTCTACCATTTCCATTACCCATAAAGACCTCTCATGCTGAGTTGCAGTTGATCTGTTACCAGATTATTTGCTGTTTTATTAAATACTTTTTCAGCAAATATTTACCGTCTACTATGTGTCAGGCAGTAATCTGGCAGATAGTTAATAAAACAGATAAAACCCCCGGTCCTCCGAGGCTTACATTTTATGGAGCTAATGTTGTATTTTCTTTAAAATCATTTTAATGATAGTATTCAGCATACATATGTACTATACTTTAATGATTTTCCATTTTTGGACATTTAGGTTATTTCCATTGATTTGCTATTGTAATTGAATGTACTTATGGATAAATTCTTGTGCCTATATCCATGGCTTTTTTTTTATGGTACAAAGTACTGAGTCAAGAGAAATACCCATTTTTATATAAATACCTATTCACTACGTTGTACACCTGAAATGAATATAATACAGTATGTCAACTATAATTGAAAAATAAAAACATTTTTTAAAAAGAATGAAATGCCAATTTTAAGACTTTTGTTTATACTTACCTTTCAGAAGTACTAGTAAACACACTCTCTCTAACACTGCCAACTGGGTCATGTGTTTAAGTCTTGCCAATTTGAGAAAGCAGAATTGTCTCCCATGTTAATTTTTATTTCTTTGTTTATTGATGAAGTTGTTAAGCATTCCATCTCTATATTTAAAAGCTTTCTTTAAAAAATATATTTTTATTGATTTTAGAGAGAAAGGGAGAGGGAGAGAGAGAGAAACATCAAGGATCAGCTGCCTTCTGCATGCCCCCTACTGGGGATCGAGCCCACAACCTGGGCATGTGCCCTTGAGTGTTCTCGAACTTGGGACCCTTCATTTTGCAGGCTGACACTCTCCACTGAGCCAACCAGCTAGTGATAAAAGCTATTTTTGTTTTTTTAGAAGTATCTGTTCATATTTGTTGCCTATTTTTTAATTGTTATATTTGGTTTTTATTGTTTGTAAGAGTTTTATACTTTCATTTTTAATAATTTGTCCTTTTTTTGATAAAAGGTATTTTTATAAGTTTTTACTTTTTTTGTTAATCCTCAACCAAGGATCTTTTTGCTATTGGTTTTTTTAGAGAAAGCGTGGAAGAGAGGGAAGGGAGGTAGAAAGAGAAAAGGGGAGGGGTACATATGTATGTACCCTGACCAGGGTTGGGGATCGATCTGCAACCTACGTATGTGCCCTTGACCAGGCATTGAACTCACAACCTTTCAGTAAGCCAGCCAATACTCTAACCATTAAGCACACTGGCCAAGGCATACATTTTTACTTTTTTATTTAAATCTCTCTTCTTCTGGTATCTGCCTTTGTGTGCTTTATTTTATTTTATTTTTTAATATATTTTATTGATTTTTACAGAGAGGAAGGGAGAGAGACAGAGAGCTAGAAACATCAATGAGAGAGAAACATCGACCAGCTGCCTCTTGCACACTCCCCCCCAGGGATGTGCCCGCAACCAACGTACATGCCCCTCACCGGAATCGAACCCGGCACCTTTCAGTCCGCAGACTGACGCTCTACCACTGAGCCAAACCGGCTTCGGCCTTTGTGTGCTTTAAAATGCTTTCTGTAGAAGTTATTTTGGATATGTCATAAAGCAAGGATCTAAGTTTATTATTATTTACTAGATACCCAGTGCTTGTGCACTGGTGGGGTCCCTCAGCCTGGCCTGCCCCCTCTTGCAATCGAGGACCCCTTGGGGGATGTCGGAGAGCCAGTTTCGGCCAGATCCCCACAGGCCAGGCCTAGAGACCCCATCCATGCACCAGGCTACTAGTATGCATATAAGATCTTTGGATAATTTCTTCCCACCCTCCCCCTTCTCCTCTTCCCTCTGAGATTTATCAGTCTGTTCCATGTTTCCATGCCTGTGGTTTCTGCTTCTGGGTTGAGCATCTGCCCCCAGGTTGTCAGTGTGTGTCATAGCTACTGGCCAGTTGGCTAGTTGCTAAGGTTTTTATATATATAGAGATTTATATTATTCAAACAGCATCGATTTAAATAATTCTTTTTTACAATTGGAAATAGTCCACAAGGCCCATTCTCGTGTGCCAGTGCTGTGAGCACCAGTGGAGGCCCATACACTTGTAAGGTCTGGCACTCTTTTTGTCACTACTGTCTAAGAAACCTGTGGAACATTTGTTTCTGTCCAAAATGTCCATGGAGACATTGGTGCATGCAAAAATATCCTTTTGTTGCTATCAGAAATGTTTGTGAGCATATTTGGTCCATGCCAAATGGTCGAGGACCAGATGTCTCCATGGATGTGTTAGGATCAAATGTCCGCTAATCCTAAAAGCTCGTCACTGAAAGGGACTGAGCTCTATGAGTTACCAGCTCAAAAAGTTATAAAGGTGTGCAGAGCTTGGGGAAAAATGCACATCAAGACAGCCTCACATGCTAAAAACTAAAACAGGTTCAGCTCGATTCAGACTATCCAATATGCTTTATATTGAAAAACATCAAGTGAAAATATACAACATTATTTAGATGAATTTACTTTTTTACAGAATCTTCAAAACTAGGTGAAACAGGGAAATACTTTTCCTAAAATGATACTAAATGCTCAATGAGAGCTGAATTGGCCCTGCTATGTGTAACATTTTAATTTTTATCAAGATGAAAGTTTGGCATTTAGGATACTAGGCTAATCAATCATTTGGTTATTTGACCTTAGGTGAATTAACCAAGACATGAAAGACTGAAAATAAGTAAGAGGAAGCATGCTTAGGCAGAGCCTAGGAGGTACAGTATCTACAGTGGTGGTGGTGCTATTTTGCCAGTTTGTGCTTCTGCTGCTTGTACTTGGTGAGGAATCATTGGTGAATTATGAAACTCTCTCTTTCCACAGATTACGCTTCATGGCAGTAGCAATGGACAGCAGCAGTTTTATTCAGTTTGACGTGCCCGAGTACAGCAGCACCGTTCTGAGCCAGCTAAACGAACTCCGCCTCCAAGGGAAACTATGCGACATCATCGTCCACATTCAGGGTCAGCCATTCCGAGCCCACAAAGCAGTCCTTGCTGCCAGCTCCCCATATTTCCGGGACCATTCAGCACTAAGTACCATGAGTGGCTTGTCGATATCAGTGATTAAAAATCCCAATGTGTTTGAACAGTTGCTTTCATTTTGTTACACTGGAAGAATGTCCCTGCAGCTGAAGGATGTTGTCAGTTTTCTGACGGCAGCTAGCTTTCTCCAGATGCAGTGTGTCATCGACAAGTGCACGCAGATCCTAGAGAGCATCCATTCAAAGATCAGCGTTGGCGATGTTGACTCTGTTACCGTTGGTGCTGAAGAGACTCCCGAGAGTCAGAATGGAGTTAAAGACGGCGGCTTCTTTGCCAACCCAGTCGAGATCTCGCCGCCGTATTGCTCTCAGGGACGGCAGCCCACCACAAGCAGTGACCTTCGGATGGAGACGACGCCCAGCAAAGCTTTGCGCAGCCGCCTGCAGGAGGAAGGGCACTCAGACCGAGGGAGCAGCGGGAGCGTTTCTGAATACGAGATCCAAATCGAGGGGGACCATGACCAAGGGGACCTGCTGGTGAGGGAGAGCCAGATCGCCGAGGTGAAGGTGAAGATGGAGAAGTCAGACCGGCCCAGCTGTTCCGACAGCTCCTCTCTGGGAGACGATGGCTACCACACGGAGATGGTGGATGGGGAACAGGTTGTGACAGTGAATGTGGGTTCCTATAGCTCTGTGCTCCAACACGCATATTCCTTCTCCCAGGCAGCCTCTCAGCCAACCAGCGTAACAGAGGCTTTTGGAAGTTTGAGTAATTCCAGCCCATCCAGGTCCATGCTGAGCTGTTTCCGAGGAGGGCGTGCCCGCCAGAAACGGGCTTTGTCTGTCCACCTGCACAGTGATCTGCAGGGCTTGGTGCAGGGGTCAGACAGCGAAGCTGTGATGAACAACCCTGGGTATGAGAGCAGTCCCCGGGAGAGGAGTGTAAGAGGTCACTGGTACCCCTACAACGAGCGGCTGATCTGCATTTACTGTGGAAAGTCCTTCAACCAGAAAGGAAGCCTTGACAGGCATATGCGACTCCACATGGGGATCACCCCCTTTGTGTGCAAGTTCTGCGGGAAGAAGTACACGCGAAAGGACCAACTGGAGTACCACATCCGGGGCCACACCGATGATAAACCATTCCGCTGCGAGATCTGCGGGAAGTGCTTTCCGTTCCAAGGAACCCTCAACCAGCACCTGCGGAAAAACCACCCGGGGGTAGCTGAAGTCAGGAGTCGCATTGAGTCCCCTGAGAGAACAGATGTGTACGGGGACCAGAAACTAGAAAATGACCCATCCGCCTCCGAGATGGCCCTAGACTCTCGGATGGAAATTCACACGGTGTCCGATGCTCCTGATTAAGATGGTAAAGAAGTGCACCCAAACAAAGCACATTATTCCATGCATAGTTGTAATTTGCTTTGTTGTAATCTTTAGTTTTCCCAGCCATCTGGAAACCTCTTGGTCTCTTGGCAGTTTTTCTAAGGGTTCTGGAAGGAACACTTCATTGTGTTTATGCTTCCCCCGCCTCCCTTCCCCCAGGAGCTCAAAGCATGAAGGGCATCATATCCAGGGAAAACACAGGCTGACAGTATTCCTCTTTGGCTGAACTCTTAATCCCAAATCTGCCAGTGACTTAGCTATGCCAACTGGTTGACCCTGTATTCTCTGCCAAGAGGCATACTCTCGCTGGGCCATCATGCACTGGCATCAGTGCATCTCCATGGAGAGAGTCTAGGATGCCATCAGCCGATATAAATGGGTAACCTTTTCTAATTTAAAATTACTTTTACGGAGTAGTTAGACAATTTATATATATATATATAATAAAGTGATTATTATATATATAGGATATATACATTCTCAAATTTGGTTTTATTCTGGTTGAGGTGAATGTAAGAGGAATATATAATTTAATACAATGTGAACAGGGCTTTTGACTCTGTCATCCCTACCTAATATGTAGGGTTTTGCCCTTTTATTTCCCTTAGAAAAGAATATTAATAGGTTTTCATATACATTAAATATTGTGTCCAAAAGCAAGCAAAGCAATTCACAGTGTTCATAGCTCTGCTTCATAACAAATACATAAACCAAATGCCATAAAACCTATTCAACTCTAGTTGGAAACCATTTGGAATTTTTGTTAGTTGTCCAGCGGATAAGCTGGATGACCTGTGGTGCTGACCCTTTTTACATAATGTAGTGTTTTATTAGCCAACCCCAAAGGAGCAGTGGTTTTCAGTGTTTTTACTGGCCTCCGAATCTACCTTCATTCCGTACTGTAGAAACATACACACCAGGTAACTAAATCGAATCACTCTACCGTGAGTTATACTCACACTAAAGGAAAGGGATTTGTAGTTCTGTCTACAATATTCTCCAAGCAGTGTTGTAGGGTTTTTTTTTTGTTTTTTTTTTCCTTTCTCTTTTCAAACAGCCAGTTCAGGTGCACAGCAACTTTTTCTACATGCAGTTCCCAGGGAAACTGCACAACTTGGAATTTGTACTTTTGTAAAGATATACTCTATGGGAATTGCAAGCAATATATCTATCTTAGTATTGTGTGTGCTAACGAGAGCCTCCGTGGCTCCCCCACTCTCAGTGTTTCCTGCTTAAAGAAACCAACACTTAACAAGCCCTCTGAGATCCTCTGTGTGTCACCAAATCTGTGTGTGTCACCATTTATTTTTTTGGTCACGTGGTGCTATCTTTATGTTATATACCTTTTAGGTCAGTATAGTTGTAAAAAATGTGAAATCTAAGGGGAATAGTGAATTACAGTTTTTTCCCTCTCTTGAGTTTCTAGCTTGAAAAGAGACCTCAAAAACGTGCTGGCAAACACATGACTGTATAAAAAAATACCTGAGTCCTATTGAATAATATTTTATTAGTGCTTTAGGAACTGTCTTCAGTTCTATATTTTGTCCACCCATAGGCTTTACAGGATTGCTTTGGTACTGTACCTCTGGCAGTAACTTGGTGAACAGTTTGGTGGTGGGTTCGTGCTGCCGGTTGCGAGTGTGAGGTCAGCCCTCGACACTCTCTGCTGAGAACCTTGGCTCTGAAACTCAAGGGCATCTCCAAAGGAGAACGGCACAAACCACCTGAGAGAAAACAAGCGAAAAGGCAACCTCAGAGGCTAAGTGTTAAAGGAAAACAAAAATAGATGTTTGCTGGTTTTCCATGCTTTTTTTGACTCTTAAAATGCCAAGAATGGTGGGGGTTATTTTTTTTGTTTTGTGGGGGGTTATTTTGAGAAAAAAATGAGTCATTCAGGCCCCTGTGTGCAACAGTCCCAGGGGCGGTGGCCGTGCAGCGGCAGCTCCTTAGCACACAGGCTCTGTTCACACGGGGGCTGCTGCGCTCCACACCAGTGTTACTACGTACAGTTCCACTCAGTCCTGCTCCGGGAGCAGCTCTTGCTAAATCGGGTATCGTTTGCCTTTTTCCTGTCGAACTGCCTAAGTAAGGGGCCTGTCTCCCTGCAGCACTTGCTCAACCCCCTTCAAAGCCGCGAGCCCCAGGGGGAGGCCGGGCCCCAGTGTTTACCCACTTAACTATGTCCTGGGGTTTCAGGTAAATGTTTGTGATTTATGTTTCCTTACATGAATCAGTTTGGCTTTAATTTTTTTTTTTCTCTCTTAAGAATGAAATGCAAAAAAATTGTTTTGTGATAAAAAATTATGTTGGTGGCAAGAAATTCCCAAATCGAGGACAAGAGAGGTGAGGCTCGGGGAAGGCTTCTCCTTTCACTCAGGCTCGGGGCCTCCTGAGAGGTCCCCAGAGTGTTTTGTGATCGATCAGACAGGACAAGGCAGAGGGGAAGACACATGGGCAGGCGCCTCCGATGTCCTAGTTCTTGTCACCGTGTCCGTCTTAATGTTATTTACATGGAGTTCTTTGTATTTGTCGATCTGTTTATCTGGTTTGAGTTTACCAAAGAGTGACTTATCCAAAATTGTCTTTGACAAAAAAAATATACATTGCTTTGATTGTACAGTTCAGGTTCAAACATTGTAATGGGACTGTTAAGGGGCAGAAAATTGATTGAGTTTCCCTCGAATAATCATAATTCCACATTCTGCAAGTTCCACTTGCTCCCATTCATGTTGCTAACACTTTACCCTTTCCACTGCTAGCAGTGTTAAGAATTCTCAAGCCATAACACAGTACTGTAAGGTTCCACAGGGCTCCGAGGGAGGCAGCGCGGAGGCCAGCACTGAGCGTGCGCACTGCGTGCCTCTCGGTGTGCGTGGCGGGGAAAGATGACTCCATTCAGACCGGGCAGCAGCAATACTTGTGCCTTGTCACACGAGGATGTGCCAGGAGGATTAACGGGACCACAGAGCAGAAACATTCTCTCCCCGAAGTTCACCTCACGTCTCCGCAGACGAAGTACGCTGTATAACTCCTTTTGGAAAGCAAAGTCCCTATTTCTGTACAGTTTTAGATTAGATGTCTCATTTATAACCAATGCAGAAATCGATTAAGATAAAAGTGATATGTGAAGAAATCTTTTACAGTGAAATATATCCTGAGTTCATCTAGGTCTGTTCATAATTGAGTCTCTTCTTGAGCTACCTTTTCCATACACAGGCAATGTGAAGACAGTGACAGCGTCCTTTCCTGTAGGGTTCTACCTGTTATTACAAACTGTGAAAACAAAGACTTTTATACTGTACTGTTTGTGGTTCTAGACAGTTATTTTCCTTCTCATCAGTTCTCTACCCTCTAATTTCTACTAAAGCTGTAAATACATTTAGAAATTATATTTGTAAATAGAGTATATGAAGACAAGTTAATTTTTTGGTCAGTGGGAAAAACCTCCCAGTTGACCCTGCCTTGGCAGGTTTTTTTTTTGTTTTTTTTTAAATGTGCGTGTGTGTGTGTGTGTTTTGTTTGTTTGTTTTTAAACAGCAGAGAAAGGATACTGTCGGTTCACTGTTAAGCAGAATATACTGTAGAACTCAATTGATCATTTCCAATCTTCCAGAGCATGAGCAGATGTCTTTTCTAACAATAGCGGTTATAACCAATCTTTGTTTCCCCTTCGCCCAGGCCGTAGGCCTGCATCTTTTAGCCTGTGGTTTTGTTTTTGCTTTTGTTTTTACAGCCTCGGCTCTAGGAAGAATTTACAGGAACACAAAACAAGGGCTTGGGGGGAAGTCATCTATGTGAACGAGCTTTACTTTAAAGAAATCAGTGTATTTTATTTTAACAGCCTTTTCTGTCAGTTACTGTGATTTTGTCGTCCTCCTCGTTATTGTTAAATTCTGTAATGGTTTCCTGTGAAGCCTCCACTGAAAGGGACTCAAATATGCAACACCTAAACTATGTTCCAAGGGCACACGCCCCTTGGATGGTGCTTCTAGACTGGTCAGGGTTATTTATTAAATTTTATATATGAAAATATTGGGGAACTATGTAAATTCTTTATATGAAACGATCTAGTTCATAAATCATAGGTTTCATATTACTCAGTGCAACTGAACTGAAAGTTCAGAGAAGTCATTCACGTTGTTCCAAATTTGTAATGGTTGTCAACGCCACGCACGTCTTTCTCAGTAAGTGCCAGAGTGTTTCCACTGTTTCTGCCCAGTGCTTGACCTCTTGGCCCGGAAGAGAACCTGTGTTCTCTGGGTCTGCACAGTCAGGGCTATTGTAGTTCTTGATCCAAGTCCTGGAGTGAGCCTTGCAGCAGATTCGGTAAATGACCTTTTGCTGCCCCTCAGTGACAAGTATGCTGTGAATTCAACCATTGGACTTGCTGCCCAAGCCTTTGGTTGCTGCCCTGACTGTAGTAAAGGTCACTTACCTAGTTTCTTTGAGAATGACCATTTTCCTAATGTGAAAACCATCTCTCTCACCACTTTTATTAGTAGGGCTAACTTTTTTCCGTTATAAATGGTTGAGCAATTTGAATGACTTAACAGTGTCATTATCTTGCAATATAAACTGGTAACCTCACAACTCCACACTTCATCACCACATGAAGTAAATGAAGCTAGCTAAGCGGATGCTGTATCAACTAAGTAACTTGCCATTAAGGATTATTTTATAGCATGAATTTAAGACTTATTTATTCAAATGATATTTTACTCTTGTATTCATTTTGTTTCAGATTTGTGATATGAATATTTCAGTGCTGCTTAATTTTGTTCTGAATTCTTGTTTCTTGCTTGTAAATGGCTTTTTTATGGTATAAATAAAGTCCATGGAAATTGCTGTTTGTAAATAAAAATGCTGCTAGAGCAAATGTGCCGTGGTCTCCCTCTGTGTTTGCCCCTCTGGGCCTCTGAGTTTCACTAACAAACATCCGCAATGTGGTAGTTTCTGTAACCACCGTTTTCAAAAGGTTA